TACGTCATTTAGCATTAGATTTAAAACCACAAGATTGAAGCAGATTGAGTTTTTTGATGATAAGACAATAATTTTCATCGAGATGTAGACAGGTGCAGTTTGATTTTGATCCATATGCCGATATTTTGAACTAGATATCTTGTACGCGAGTCTTACGCTAGGGTAAGTACTTTTTAATGTGAACGTGAACAAAACCCAACACAAATGTCGATAATACCATTACTCATCACAGGACACAAGTTAATTAAATTTCACACTATCTGAATTTACAATCTGGTCTGTTATTAGCTGTTAAATCAATTTTATATGTCATAGTCTGTATGGTTGACTGCAGTGTCATCAATACCTACATTAGTTGCCTTTAAAAAGCGCACAACCCGCCGAGGGAGCACTGCCTTTTAACTTTATATGATTGAAATATAAAATACAAAGTGAAACACACATGGAGCGTTACACCAAACGTGACATGGTCGTTAAGTTGTTTTGATGACATGTAATTAGTTTATAACGCCTAATCTCTACATATACTCCGGTAATAATAAACAACATTCAGTCTTTGCTTGTTTTTGACTGATATTCAGGTAAGTAGACCCATCATTTTTTACTGGAGACATTTGGATGACTGAAACCCTTGTGTTAAGAGTGAAGAAGTTCCTAAAAACTTCTATGTAAAGCACTGGCCAAGGTCACAAATAAAGAGATAAATGTTCAATACAAGATAAGGTGAAGTTAGCATAGTTAGTATTAAGTTAAAAAAACAACCACGAGTAATCTACAATAAACAAAAGTCTATAAAATGAAAGTTTTCTTGTTACCAGTTCTAAAAGAAAAGAGAAAGAAAGAAAATTACTAAGGTTTTTATTGCGCTTATAGGCAATTACAAGTCGTTTGCTATATACATTCGGAAATCTTTTCTGTAATTCACTGTAATACTGTTTGACGATGGATGAGGTTTTGGCAGCTGTATGATTAAAGGTGGCAACAAATGGAATCATTTGATTATCATGCTGGATGTTAAGTCCATTTGGAGCCACTGTTTGGAGTTGGTCCATCCAGTAGCTTTCTCTCTGTAATCGTTTGGTTTTTGATTTGATAAGATCAGAGTCAAGAATTGATTCAATAGGCATGATAAGAAGGTATTCAATGGAATGGTCAGGTAAATTAAAATGATGAGAAATTGGTCTATTTTTGCTATGAATTATATCAAAGCGATGGTCGCTAAATCGAGTTCGCAACGCGTTCTGGGTTTCGCCGACGTATTGTTTGTCACATTTTTTACACGAAATTAGGTAAATGATATTTTTATCCGTACACGTGAGACGTTCTTTAATTTCAAATATTTTTCCGTTTTTTTTATTTTGAAAATAATGAGACATATGGATATGTTCACAGGTGCGACACCAAGAACCTCTACATGGTATTGCGCCAAAGTTATTTATTGGAGGAGGGGGTTCATTAATTTTCAAAAGGTCCAAAACAGTGTCATTTTTAATTTTTCGCAAGAATCGTTTGGAATAGCCCCTCTCTCTTAATTTACTGAAAACTAGTCTACAAGCTGCATCAAAATCTACTTTTGAGTGCAAATTCTAAAAAAACGCAAAATTTGTGATTTGATTATTCCCGTAAAAGTATGTTTTAGGTGAAAAGAGTTTTTATATAAAAGTTGGTGAGTATCCGTTGGTTTAAAAAATACTTTGATGTCTAATTTGTTTGTTTGAGAGAAAATTGGTCCTTTGAATACCGTAGTATCCAAAAAATCCATACTTTGTTCAGAAATATTCGCAATTAGTTTTACAGAAGGGTGGTGATTATTTAAAATTTCAAAATATTACTCGTAACAACACGAGTTTCTTGATAAATGAAATATAATATTATATAGAGGCAGTAATTCATGTTGAGAGATATACTAGATACGAAACTGTGGAGTTTCTCAACAATTCTTTTTCATAAGAATCCCTAAATTGATTGGCACGGGCTAATGCACGCTTCACACTGTCCCAATATGGACACCAAACGGACAAACGAAGGGCGAAGATAGTCCCGAACAGCCAATTCATGAGCGACGAAAGAAGGAAATGTAGATCGTATGTGGTATATTGTTTTTGATTCGAAACAAGGGACAACATTTTACCCGATTATCAGAAAAGAGATGTGTACCAGTAACCTATCACAAGTTATTAATTTATTTCAATTAAAATGTGCATACATTAACCTTATAAACACTCCGGATTGATGTCACCCTGGCAATGATGTAAGTTGGAGGGAAGCATATTCTCGCTCGGCCACTAAACCATCAACAAAAGCCTTGTAGGTCACAATGAAGGAGAGTATAAAACAGCTCAGTTTATTCTGCAGTTTTTAGAAGAAAGTTCAGCCACTTTTTTTTTTTATAAAATTACAGCGACACACTTCGATTCTCTTATTACTTAACATAAAGTAATTCTTCTTCGTCTTTTTGTTCTTTTCTGTACATGTTAATTATTTTTTTCTTGCAGAATGAAGGCAGCTATTTTATTGACGTTGGTTGTATTGTTGTTGGTTGTTTCAGACCAGGTTGATTGTGGATGGAGGAGATATTGGAGGAGACAAGCAGATAGAGACCGACCATCTCGCCCGGGTCGTGACATTGATGATATTGCAACATTAGCTGTTGAGTTAAATGCTGATGGATAGGGGCTACGGCCTTTCGCCAATAGTAGCTACTAAGGATTAGCTGGAATTTGCAATATAACCTTTAGACATTCAATCAATAGGCATCTTCTTCTTGTAGTAGTTAAGAGTTGAAAATAATCATTGTTGTCTATGGCTTGTTTTACTTATCTGCCGATATTCAGAAATTTGGCTTTAGTAATATTGAAAAATTTAAAATGAATAAATTCGTTATGAGTATACCGAATCAATACTTTGGGTACGGCTGGAAAGGATTCCTTTCCAATCCCTCTAGGACACTTATTTTTCAGCATAATGCTTGTCATACAGACAAAAAATGTATCTTCAATAGTATCTATAATTATACAGATTTGTGTGTCAGAAGTTAGGACTAAAATTTAATCGCCTACACCCGTATTATCCAGTGCTTTATAGTGTAATGGTGGCATGCGGCATGCATTGGGGATTCTTCAAAACGTTTCGAACATTTTCTGATAACAAACCACCAGAAAACTTCTAAGAGCAGAACTTTTAATTCGATCCAGACTGCAGCCATTAGACTGATCATTGATATCAATTGCTTTGTGCGAAGCTGATTAACATTTAGATTCAATATCACATATCATATTTCCCATATCTTCATGCTGTTTTGATAAGGCTTTATCTGCCACTTTCACTGTGGTGGATAACCTATTTCAACAAGAGCAACTAATGGCACCAGACTAAAGTATTATCTTCAATAATATATATATAAGTTGTAATCTCTGCCAAATTTTCATTGGTACGACTACATTAGCAGCCTGTAACAAGTAATAACAACTCACAGAACAAACTCTATGACAAACGGAAACACACACATTACACTAAAACGACAAATTCTCATCATGAAGATAGCTTTGTTCCAAAACCTTACTCATTACAAGCAATACAATGATTTACTTTTCACCTTCTGAATTCTGAAAGAATGGTAGCCGAAGACACCCTCACTGAAATTCAAAAATGACCCAAGGATGACCCAGCTCACCCTCACATCATATAATGGCATATAATATTTTGTTTTCATTAAATATTACATTACGGTAGGTAATTACTATGTATATTTTAAATCATGTAAACATTTCCTTAATAATAAATATACATCATTTTCTTTTTTATTCCTAGTATTTATTCTAAACTATTCAAAACCTTAGCATTTAATTTCAGATTTAAATACGATCACATTGACAGAGTTACAGCCCTTGATATACTGAAAATGAATTGGGTAACTGGAAGCATTTTGCTCTACAACTGCGTATATTTGTTTGAAAAGACCAGGGCGATTTGTATTGTTCCATTATGAATGTTAATGTCACTATCGTTAAAATCAGGCACTACGAAGGCCGTAGCATATCATTACTTATGAGTAATTAGAGCCAAAATCATGATGACTGGGTAACACTTCAACTCGTTGTATTTACCTCTTAACGTGTTATTGCTAATCATAGCTGACACGTAGTAAATCATTCTACCGCTGCTTGATACTGGCTGCCTCTTGCAACCTGCATCCCTGTGAATCAAAGACAATTTTAATTCTTTTCACACCCTTGAAACTTGTATAAAGCTTACATCTCTTTCACAAAACACTTGAAAGGGGAAATTTTTCGATGTGAAAGAATTGTAGTCACCTTATCTGTTTGAATAGGTATTATACGATGGTACATTAATTATGTGGTTTATTATAGAGCTCATCCCATTAACTTCCCGATGTGACCTCATTAAGAAGTCTTTTCTCAGCTTAACAGTAGAAATATCAGATTTTATATCGGCAGCACGTGTTGTGTAGAATAATAATAAAATACACACTCGAGTATAGAATTCCTCCACTGAGCATGTCAGTTAACTTATTGTGTTTATACTCGTGTGTGATGAGAGACGTGATATTTAACTTCACCAGGAGGCTAAAGGCAGACGTGTAACGGAAGCGCGGGAATTGAGTTGTACACGGCTTGACCGTTAATCAGTGGTCACTTGAAGGTGTTCAGTTTAGCAAATCCAAGAAAAGTATTGGAAACTTTGCTCGAGTTCATTCATTTTAGATTTACTATCAGCCATAGTTCATAGCGTGATTCAGTTCGTTCAGGTTCGTGCCAATAGTCAATATATCGTCTGCTATATAGTGTTAAAGTGTTCCAATCGTCCCGTGATAACATTCGTCATTTACAATTTTATCATTCATATATTCAGTGAATCGAACAAAAGCCTGGGATTAGTTAACGGATGCTTGTGTTTGTTTTCATTTTACTCAGGACATTTACCATGCCCATCGTCTGCTGAAATCATTTTCACGATCTAAATAGGCAATGCCTTTCAACATGGCGGCGGACGCAACTAAAGAACGAAAAATTTTATTTGGAGGCACCATTGCCACTGTGGTAGCTTTTCTTTTCCAACTTGTGGCTATTTGTACTTCATACTGGCTATTAGTGGACGCGCCTTCTGAACAAGTGACCGGAAATAAAACGGGTCGAACATTGATTCGCTCTTATAGTGGGCTGTGGAGGATTTGTAAAGTCTATAGAGAAGGAAAAGACGGTTCAGAAAGTAAGTTGTAATTATTTATAGTAACGAATAGTACCATCTTGAAGACCCATTTTTACTACACCATACCTAAAATATCCTAAACACCATACAATTCAAGATGGATAGATAGCATTACCAGATAGCCTATATAGCATATTCTAATATTACTAAGAGTTTACTAGTCTTAGGTATCGTGAAGGCGAGGGTTGCCAATTTTTTTTTTCTCCAGCAATAGGCTTATTATGAATTAGCTTAAAGATGGTTTGTTAACATCGTTATGTTCATTAAATCTTGTTGCAAGTTACCGAAAAATTGTGACCAGTACGGAGATGATGTTCGCTATCTCCCAATCTTCACCATACATATTACATTCATAACACCATTCAAATATTGTAATTTGTCCTATTTAATTAAACAAATCCCCCAGGAGGATGGCATATTCCGTGGAAAAAAACTTGCCTTCTGAATTTTGAATTTGGAGTATTTCATACAAAATTTTAATGGTCACCACCATTGAATGGTTTACATTGATGTCTCTCGCTGACAAAATTAACAATGGGGATAGGCTGTAGGAACTGAAGGACAAAATTGGAGATAAATAGAACAAAATATTACTTGTAAAAAACGGACAGGCAATATCTTGGCATTAAAATATGAATTCAAATGGTGGCAATATTGAGCATTAATTCAATTAAAGATGTGAAATTATAGTAATTATTTTCAGCATTATATCATTTAACAGCTAGGGGATTCCAAAGTTGTTCAATACGAAGCTGTAACTTGTTGAAAAGATGTTTCATGTTCCTAAAATTTTGACTGAAAAATATTATGATCATAGCTTTGATACTTATCGTATTTTCTGGGTTTTCCCTGATATATATACTGAATCCTAGCCTTCTATATCGTACACGCTGAGAGTCCAGACTCCTGCCCCATACTCTGGTGTTTTACCCCGGACATAGGTAAACGTACCGGTATATATAATTTTAGTGGAGGCTTTACCAAAGATGAGTTATTGCGAATGTGGTCCATAACTCGACCAAAAACAACGAATTATAAAATGATCAATCTGCATTATTTGAAAACAGCATGTTGCTATAATATGGTATTCACTAGTACCTAAGTAAGTACTTCATAGTCGTCACAAGGTATGGAAGATTTATGCAGGATATAGGTACTATGCAAGAAAACCGATGGCACATTCACACCGATTCTAATGTATAGAATAGCAAACAATTCAAGATCTGTTGATATGATTATCAGATAACCTACATCATATTCTAGTACATCATATCATATATACAATCAAACCATAGTGGAGGTTGTTTAAAGTAGCACTAGAGAAATACATAATATGATTTTAATAACTCTAATAACCTAAGATTTTTGTATTGTCTTAATTAGTCAATTAGTAAATCATTAATTAGTAAATCACAAAACAGATACAAGCTTCGTTAGCCTAATAAACTGCTGTATTTCTTAAAGCGGAAATGTATCTAAATATAGATTTTGTGAAACAAGCAAGTGTGGCAGAATAAATATGAACCCTTCATACATCTGTAACCACACAGTCCACGTCAATTCGGATTTTAGAAACACAATAAGAATTGAATTCTTTGTACACCTGATAAATCCTTCTACGTGACATGTCCAAGCATAGAAAAGAATATTAACTTTTAACTACTTTTGTCTTATCGTCTCAGTCATATAATTATCTATAGTGTCTGAGTATTTCGACATCCGAATAAAAGTACCAGACCAATGTATAACTTAAGTTTTATCACTAGAATTATGTTGGAAACCCTTGAAGAAAATTCTTCATTCTTTTTTATTTAAAGTCGAATTTGTATTTGGTTCTTCATTTCAAACATGTTTCAGGTAACCCAATGTTAAGAGGACAGTATCACTTTAAATAACACGAACAGAGTGATAAAATCGATATCAGAACCGGAAAAAAATCAAATGTTTATCTGTATAAATCTATATTGTATTTTTAATTTTTCAAATGTTAACATAGATTTTATATCTGCCGTCTCTTATTATCTTTGTCAAGTGCTAGACTTATTCTGATTCCAATGTTTTTAAAAACTAATTGTAGCTGATTATTTGTCCTCGCCATTCCACGTATATTCATTTCATCACCTTTTTTACTCGACTTTTATCTTTTGATGACTGATGGGCTAATGTTATTTACCGATATAAAAATGACTAAGGCTGTGTATTTTTATTATTTATTCATGAATGTTTTTTCTTATATATTTTTTTATATTATTTTTTATATCCGGTGACTAGAACATCTGTAATTAACATAGTATTGTGTAACATTAACTTCAACCACAAACAACCCAGGGAATATATATTTGCTATGTCAAGACAGTTGCTAATTCGTTCACACATGTACTAATTCCGAGAGCACAATTTACTTGAATTTTGCTACTAGTAATTGTAAGTAATAACCATATTATGTTCATTGCCATATGAGAAATCCAGAGACGAGCATGAATACATACACATAAGTTGGTTATGTTAAAGATAATTACCTGAGCTTGAAAGGTATATACTTGTTGTAACTGTGTAGTATGAAAGTGTGTAGTATGAAATAGCTCACTTTTATTAATTTGTAACTGCGAATAATAAGTACAGCCAACAGTGACGATAATTGAAATAAAACATCAAGATTTTACAAAAATAACAACTAAGGGTATCCTTTCTGCCAGCTGTTCTTTCGTCGTCTGTTTCATTAACGAAGAACAATTTCCAGTTAATTCGGTTGGGCCTGATCTACGACGTCGGGAATGGAGTGAGAGATAAACGTTGTGGCCTTATTTTGCATTGTCCAAAAATCTATATCATTTTTCCACTCAAGACAAGTAAAATGTTGTGTTTATCTGTGTGCTTATCAAAATAAAACCAAACATCCTAGGAGGTCAAACCTTGAACGTTTCACTCTTGGTGCAAATGCATATCTTGAAATAGATTTGTAATCACGATAAGGGATAAGATAATAAAATTTGATAACCTATGATTCCACCATATGGTGAAGCAAGTCATTGACTATTTGGTGGTAAAATTGGACAGAACCATCTTCATCACCAATTTAAGGCATTGCTTCCCCTTCATGAACTGGTCATATTTGATTCGGTGACAACGGGATCTGTTTAAAGGATCTAATGAACACAAACCCGTAGCCTTTTCATGTCTATGTTGATTTTCAATATCTTTTATGTCAATCTTATATATATATATACCTAGTATTCTTAATGTATTGTCTTGCAAAGGTAGGATGATTTGTATTGAAACACATTCATCAGTTAAAATAGTTACTACTAAACAATCAATATTTCCAAATGGAAGAAGATTTACTAGTAAATTTTAAGATTGAGAAGGTGATCTCAGTAAATATACAGATTACATTTCTTCATATTGAAGCAAATTATTAATTCTCAATGACTGTATATATGAATTTTATGATGGAAAAAAGCCTACCTGTAAGGCTGTGCATAAAACGTGATTATTCTTTCAGTAATCTGGCAGAGCTGTTTTATTACCTATTGTGTCAAGGATGAACTACTTCACATGTTAATGGTGTGGAACCTTCGTACCATAATATCATCCCATTAGTTCTGTATTTATTAACTTATTATAGGTTTTGCTCTTATTAACCTTTTAAAGTATAAGTTATGTCTATTTCTATAATGCTTTTAGTGCTCGAGCACAGAAAAGAAAGTTTATATTTTGAACGATTTATCTTGATGATAGTGTGTGAGTTAAACTGAGCGTCGAAGTTAATAGAGAATCAACAAATATCTGTCAATAATAATATTTCTTTTGAAAACTGATAACATATCTTACCTTCTTTAAGAACATAATTTAGCTTTGGCATTTTCTTGAACTAAAGTATATTGTACTTTCTATACACTATAAACATCAAAAAACTTCTCTGTACTGCTTAACCCCATCGTCTTCTGTGTTTTTATATACTCAAGTATTGGAATTTGCAATGAACCGAGTTCAGACAATAAAAAAAATCGTACTATGTGTGCTCAAAATATCGTTTTCAAGCTAAGTGTAGTTTTCATCAAAGTTAGCATTCTCAGTTGTCTATCTGGATGCAAACCTGGTTTTTGAGGCAGCCATGCTGTCTAACAATAAAATAAGATTCGAATATGAATTTGTATTATTACTATTGTTGGCTCGGGAATTACTTTATCAAATTTATATCATTGAGACTGACCCATTGAAAACTGAGTTATCATGAAAATGAAATTGTAATCAGCTAATGGATGAGAAATCTGAGAAAATCATAATGACCGACTTGAACCTCACGTGATAAGCCTTACTAAAACAGTCCTAAGAGAGTTAGCTACCAGTTCGCAAATCTTAGTAGTGTAATGTACTACCATTTTCAGACTGATACCATTACGTATAATGCGATTGTTGTGAACTATTTGTACTGCCGAAACTGGTATATGGGCCACTGTACTAACCTCCAAACGCTTTGCCAGACGGTGTTGAGCAGAAGGAAATTTCCTAAAGTCCTATTTATTCCAATCCCTTGTTAAGAGCGTCACAAATATTTTACCTTGTAAGTAGTTGAATATGGGACTGCTAATGTCGTTGGTATATGTTTGAAAATTAGTAATCGGAAAGTCAGAGGTAAGAACCAAATGTACAAATAATTCTTAATCCAGACTGTGTATAAGCAATTCGCTCTTTTGGCTATGCACTAATCTTGCTTAATGCTAAAATTCTGGTATTAAATACTCTTAACATTGACAAATAACCTTACAGAATTTACGTTCGGCATATTCGAGAATTGTTATGAAATTAGGTAGCAATATTGTTTGGATACATTATCCCTTTCTATTCCCTGTTGCATGACCTTACTGTAAATTGAAAAAACGTATTTTGAACACCCAGTGTAATAAATAATGAACTGAAGGGAGAGCAAGAAAATAATTAAATTCTACAACTATATATTGAATTATCGAACGTTTTATTTAATTATACCACTGGATCTG